GGGAAGAAACGATGTTTAACATTCATTACTTCCTTTTAAGTTTTAAAAATTGGTCAATTCCCCTGAACAAGTGCGACTAGAGTTCAACGAAAGAAAGCGGTAAAACGATTCAAGGCGACTCAGCTCTTAGCCGAGTTTTCGAGGAATACCGCGGAATCTAAGGGAGATAGCGAAATTTTCGTAATGACCTTTTCTGTGGAGAGAATTGAGACCTATAAAAAAGGTTATAACAAAAATTTTGCCATCTGCCTTAGATTTCGAGATATTCATTAAAAACTTACCAATTATCGAAATTGACTTGAAGACATCCAAAAATGAATAAAAAATACTCATTATCATTACTTTTTCTTTACTATTAAATTTATTTAATTCTAAAATACTTTCTCTGAAATGAGGCCACGAGAAATCACTCCCACATCTCGCGACTTGTATATTCCCCCTCATTTCTTTTTCTAATTCTCAAAAATTCATCAATTCCCCTAAACAAATGCGACCAAAGCTCAACGAAAGAAAGTGTAAACTCGATAATTAGGGATCAAAGAGGAAGAGTGAAACAACACGCAGAAACTTCTCCCCCCTCTCTAAAAAACAAAAAACAACAATAAAAAAGGGTGATCTCGTTATCCGAGGCGCCCGATCTGACGTCAGCCCCTCAAGGAGCCTGTGCAAAGAAGGCTGGACAGTGTGTATACAGCATTCAACTCCTCACATGAATCCCCATCTCCCACCCACACACGCATACCCCCTCTCCCCCCTCCCCTCGCGCTGCCGCCCCTCCTTCTCCCTCGCACACACATCTGTGCGCGAAGAAGAAGAAGAAGAAGAAAGAGAAACCCCCACCGCTCCCCTTCCCCTCATTCAGGCTCGACGCCGTTCTCGTGGGAGTGAGACAGAAGCAGCTGCCGTGGCGAGTGGCCAGAGCGAAAAGGGGGGGGGGCGGCAAACGGGAGAGGGAGAGAGAGAATGAGAAATTCTCGTTTTATACTGTAGCAAGTCTCACTCCCCCTCCCCCCCTTCCTCTAGGACAACTCTACCGTGTCCCGGCGCCGTCCCTCGAGGGGAGTTGGTGCGGGCGGGGGGGAAGGGGTTGCAGAGGGGGCGGGGGAAAGGGGAGGTGGAGCGGAGAGGGGGAAGTGGAGGGGAAACTACTAGGCTGGCTTTCGTTTCCAAAGCAGACGCCAACTAAACCGACAACAGTGTGCGCTCGGTCGTCGTTGAAGATACAGCCGTCTATTGTTGGAACGTAATTTTTTCCCCCGATTTTTGACGTCACGTGTTTTGACAAGTGTGATTAATTAATACGGGGTTTGATTTTATGCAGCGGAGGCTGGCACTGACGTGAGGGGGATTTGGGGATTTTGTGAGTGGTTGTGGAGGTTTGGAGTTTAGAGAGTGAGATAAAAAAAAAGTTGGTGGGATTTTTGTGGAGGAGAACTTTGGCAGCTGGGGACTGATGATGATGGATTAATGAGGGAACGGGATTTCGAAAACGAGGTGAGGATTTTTTGGGGTAATAGAGGGGAAAATACGGGATTAATAGTTGGGTCGGGATGATTATTTTCTTTCATTTGTGTTTTAAAATGAAATCGAGGGAATGTTTGACATTTTCTAAGATAAATCCAATACCATTTTCGGTTTTGATTCGTCTGTATTCGATCATTTCAATGAATGGAAAATATAAAAAATATTTTTTTGCGATGAAATATTCAAATAGTGTTTTCTTGAATTAAAAATGAAAATAAATGCAAATGGAGTTTGTCTGATTCCAAAATTTTGGAGCACAATTGATTTTTTATTACCGCATATCTCGTGACCCAACAGTAATAGTAATAAAACCAGTTCGATGTCAATTTGAAATTTAATAGAAATACCTTCAAAATAAAAAAAATGTTGAGATTTGAATAACAAATGGGGGAAGTACGGGTTTTAATGGCTAGTTAGAGTTAATTATTTTGGTTTAGTGAAAAGTTTACTTTTGTTCGTGGATTTTAAATTAAAATCGAGTGGTTATCTGACATTTTCCAAGTTTTTGTCACATTTTTATGTTCAAAATGACGAATTAAACAGCATTTTCTATTTTATTCCACCTGTATTCGATTATTTCAATGAATATGAAATAAAAAAGTCATTTCTTTGCGAAGAGAAATTCAAATAGTTTTTTTATTAATTTAATTCAATGGATTTTTCATCATTTTCCTTCACTCAAAAAAACTGATTTTTGTTAAATAAATTGTATTGCCGAGATACAGTCACTGAACATTCTGTCCTAAGTGAATAGAATCCTTTATTTCCTCAACACCAACTATTATAGTTTTACATCTACACAAGCCACAGAAAAATCCTTCCAGTAAAACTCCAATAAATAATGCTTTTACATCAACAATGCGTAATGAATAATGATAATACCGCAATATCACAGTTATTTAAACAGTTTTAAGAATTATCAGTCACTGAGTACATTTTCTCATGTTCTTCACGCGAATAAATATTTCCTCTCGTGTGATTCCTCCCCCACCATAATTTCCACTGTTGTTTTATCGAACGTTCTAAAAATCTCAAATTTCCCTTTTACTCGGTCCCCGAAACAAGAGATACTGAGTGAATGTTGAAACAGAGATGTATGCACGCACGTACGCATGCACCCTCCCTCGTGCTTCACCCCCACATTTCGTAGACCGAATACGAAATGAACGGCTGGCGAGTACGTGGTTGGGGGCCTTTATCTTCCCGCAGTCGGTCTGTCTTCTCCAGAATTTTTTCGGTCCTCGTGTGTTACTTTTGGAGAGAGGTTGAATGAGGGAGACGGGGGATCTCCGAGTCCGGCACTATCTCGGATTTTTGTGCATTTTGGGGAAATTTCACCGCTGGGGGAATATGTTTCTGCGTGTGAACCTTGAACTTGTGATTTAAAATCAACATTTCTCACTGAAATCGCGTTTTCTCGAGGAATTCAAGGTTTTATGCTTCAATATCTTATCGGCTAGCGATACGATTTGAATGAGCCTGGTGTCATTTTCAAGCTTGGAAAAATATGTTCAAAATGAACGAACAATTGGATTCTTTCACTCAGCGGTTGTCGCGGAATTCACGATTAAACGTTGGTAATTTTATCTTCTTGTCTTGTAGAGTTGAATTACTATAAATTTGAATATCTCTTCACTAAATGATAGCATTTGAATGAGTCTGGTCTCATTGGAAAGTCTGGAAAAATATCTTCAAAATGAAAAAAAGATTGTATTTTTTCACTCAGTATATGCCGAGAAATTCACGATTAAAAATCGCTAATCTGGTGTTTTTTTTCTGTAATGAATGAATAAATTCCGATTATGGGTTTTTGGGAGAGAGAAACGGATTCATCATCTGATCGAAGATGTTTACCATCATGAAATTAGCAGGACGAGTGAGGAACTGCGTGGGCTTCCTCATCAACGGGTTTAACCGCTTGGCTGCGAAAACGGTGTCAAGAATGACTGGAATTTAATCAGCTAATCTTGCTTGTTGAGTGTCTAGATGGGAAAAATTGACACTATGATTAATAGAAATCAGTAATTGCTGGTGTTTTCATATCCGATTACTAATTTCTGACATTTTAACCGCCAGAGTATGTGATAATTCAGTAAAATGATCAAAGCGAAGAACTCAATTTTTCGCATTTTGATGAATATTGAATTATCTCCTCAACTAATTCCTTTAGTACAAAACACCACATGAGATTTTTGTTGGAAATTTTCTCAACTACAAAAAAAGTTATTATCACATTTCTCTCTAAAACCCCTCATTAATGAGATAATTACAAAAATGCGTAACTGAAATTGAAGACTAAAATTTTGCAAAAAATCCATTCATCACGTCTTTTTTGACAGCAAAATATCTCGTTAACAAGACATTTTAGAGGAAAATGTCACAAATCATTTTTCGTTGGAAATTTTCTCACCTACAAAAAAGTTCATATGACATTTCCCCCTAAAACCCCTCATTAACGAGATAATCCAAAAAACAAGTGATTAAAATTCACAAGTGAAATGCAAAAGCCCGAAAATCGAATTCCAGATGTTTTCCCCCAAAAATTTCTATTCTCGCGATGTTTCCATTAAACTCTCGCCTCCACTACCCGTATGTTTGCAAAAAGCCACGTGGTAAATAGCCCCTGCGTGCCACACAAAATATACACGCGTGGAATATACTAAAACGCATTAACGCTATTCCTGTATTAAAGATTTCGTAGAACTGGAACGAGATCGTCCAGAGGCCCAAACGAGGCGTTATTGCATCACTACCCGTACAGAACTCTCCTCTCATTCGTCTCCCACCGTCTCTGAATGCCACTTCACTGGTGAATTAAAAGAAAAAAGAAGCCGAGCAACACTTTCTTGACACTTGTTAAATTGGATGAAATCCTACAATCCCGATTTCCCGGGAGATAATGTGGGATTTATGTCTCTCGACTCAACTATGTAAAATGATATTTAGACGTCTCGGTCGTTAATCACTTTGCGCCCATCAGAATGGCTTTTTATGAATAAAACATGTGTTAATGACATGTTTTGATTGAGTAAGAGGTTTTTTTTTCGGTTGGGAGTTAATTTTATTGAGTTCGGGCGAGTTGAGGAGAATTATAGGCCAAATGTTGTGAACCATTGGTATTCTTTAATCATGAAATATGGGAAATGAAGTAATTTTTACGGTTTTTTTGATGGAGAAATCAGTCGAAATGATTTTTACTTTTGATTCTAAAAAATTCTGTTTGAAAGAATTGATGAAAATCACTCATTTCCGATCAATTAAATCTGTTCCACTCTATCAAGTATTGTTGCGTTTTATTGAGAAAAATATAATTCAGTTATTGGGATATGGGTAAAAGTGGATAAATAAATGTAGTAACGCAATGAATACTTTCAACTTGAACTCTTTATTATTGGCACGAGGAAGGCACGACTGTACTAGAGGACCGTTGTCCAGAGACTAAATTCTAACTATTTGAAAAACCTTTACTAAGGGAAAAGCAAGACACAGTTTATGACTCCAGAGGACAGAGTTTCCTTTGAATTTCTACATGTGGTAAGGATTGCAACGCTCTCGAGTTCGGAGCACAACGGATCATAAATTAGTCCTTTTCTGGGGACTTTCCCCAACACGTCATAAACCTTGTCGAGTGATTTTTGAAGAAAAACAGAAGAGCTGCGTTCAAATATTCCAACATCAGTAAAACAGTAGAAGTCAATTTTGACTATTGACCAGTTTTCAATGAATACCTCGGAATCTAAGTGAGATAGTAAAATTATTGTTATAACCTTTTTGCAGAGCCGATTGAGAGCTGCAATTAATGTAATTATAAAAATTTCGTTATCTCCCTCAGATTTGGAAATATTCCTCAAAAACACAACATAAGTCAAGATAAATCGACTTAAATCGTTTTACCACTTCGCTACTACTAAATTCAATAATAACCATCCCAAATCATATCCCCATTAGCTTCAAGTAGTGCCCAGCCCTGATATCAATAATAAAGAATGACTCGTCAAAGAGGAAATTCCACTTTCCAAACTGACTCCCAGAAGAAAAAAAGAACCAAGGGGAATTTAATCGGTAGAATCTGCCAATTAAATTATGACGGCAATGCCAAATAGCCACTGAGATTTATGAACTCCGTTAGGTGAAAATTATTGCTAGCACGGTGAGAGGCGAGAGAAGTCTCGCCTCGAGGACAGATTAAAAAAAAATTACAAAACAAGAAAAAACACATTCGATTCCCGTGTCGTGACCGTTCGATACTCCCAACGTCTCACGTTTTATCTTATCGGCTGTTCCCTCGCTCTCTCTCTCACTCTCGTTCTCGGGTGGACGTTATTCGAGAGTGAGAGATGCCTAAGCTCTGCGTAATATCCATCGGGCCCATTTTCCGTGACTCTTAAAGCCCCGGTATATAGGTCTCAGAGTCATAATACGCTGAACAACAAGAAAAGGGCACACATGCACCCCAACACATTACATTTTCCAGGGAACATACCGGAGGTGTGTGTGATAATAAAATCTGAACTTGGCTGGCGAAGTGCTGGGCAAACAGCAGAGAAAATAAAGGAGAAAAGGAGTGATTGTCTTTTGCGAATGCTAGCGGAGATAAGTCTTATCTCACTGAGTCGCATCTGTTTTCCGCTTACCATGCCTGTGATTATCTCTGGGCATGGGGTAAATACGGAGACGGAGAGGAGTGGATGAAATAGTGAGTGCAGTGGAATATCGAGGATTGGAGGTAATGAAGAATTTGCAGAGAGAAATGTGTCGCTTGGGCGTGAAAAATGAGAGGATTTTCAAGACCCGTAAATTGTTTTTTTACTCGTGTCTCTACGACTTACAATCCTCAAGATGTTGTCATTCACAAACGTCCACATCCTGAGAACTACGACTCGTAGATATGTGAGTTGAAAACCATTTTATTTGTTATGAAATTCCCTGCATTTGTCACACTGGATGTCTCGATGACTTGTCAATAGTTT